ATAACACCTGACCCCCTCTGCACTTTTTGTTTCGCATTTTAAGGTAAGAAATCGACATTTGAAAACGACAGGGTGTCGATTTACTAGGTGCCGTGTTTCACAACTTGTTTATTTATATACGTATAGCGGATGATTTTTATTGAAAATTAGTATTTATTGATTTTCAGCCCCCAAGTGACTGTGGTTTTGTCGTCTATGGTTTGGTCATTGATAATCTGTGTAGTGGGTTATTTACTGTCAGCAGATAATTTTCAAGTACAAATTTAGTTTTTAATTTTGTGTAAGTACGCAGCTTATTTCTGTGGTTAATACCTTTATTGTCATTGTTTAAAGAATCCCTACTGTTTATTCTGAATTTTTTTTTAAGTGCTGTAGTAATATTATTTTTTTTTTCATTAATTTTTTCGTTTTCCCACTCATTTATAAACATGTATTCATAATATTGCAACAAAGTCCACCCCACCTCACCCCCACCTCACGCGCGACACTGTAGTAGGTATTAAAAGTATTGACGTAGCAAGTTAGCAAACTTACTTAATTCACAAGTCAATTGCTATGTTCACACGGCAGCAGTCTATCGGAGCCGAACTACTGCTCCTCCCACAGATTAACAGGAGATTATCTCCAATGCGTTCATACGGTCGGGAGCCGAACGAGAGCAGAGATCTGCCAGAGTTTGATTCAGTTCGATCAGAGCCGAACGGAACAGTGACCTTGAATAATTAGTGACTGAAAATGTGTTTTTTCGTCACATGACACGATGCTGTTGAGCTAGGAGAAAAAAAAAACAGTCGCGAGCCTGAGCATGGAAGTAGAAAAGACAATGACTGGTATTATGGTTTAGGTACTAGTATCTCGAATAAACAGGAAACACGGCAGCTAAAATGTTTAATACAGCCTATTCGCTCAAGTTATTGTCATGCAAAATTACCATTTTGTAACTATTCAACTGTAGTGATATCTAAATTACTAGGAAGAATCACAGATTCTCTCTAGCTATCATAGAGGGACTATGGAAGAATAACCGTACCGCAATTGCTTCTACAATTTTTATCTTTAGTGTCTTTAAAAAGTTTCCGTTCAGTTTTTCTTTCAAGTTTTTGTCGCATAATTTCGCCATTTTTTGTTTCCCGTTGAGCTATCAATTTATCGCAATAATTCGT